GAAATTATATTATATCATATTTCATACACGTCTGAGTCCAGACTGTGTGCCAAAAATCACAGTGCAATGATCATTAAAATAAAGAAACAAAGGTTCAATGATTTTCCTGTGTGTGCGATGCTGCCAAGTCAGCCACGCTGAATCAGGTGAACGTTGATAGGGAATTCGCGACGAGATATGATACACCGGTTGTGTATCACTCAAAGATAAATAAAAGCCACTTACTAAACCGGTTATCGTGACCTAGACCACGAGACCATTGTTACTTTCCATAAGGAATACTGGATAAGGGTTTACATAGACTGAAACAAGCACAACAATCATGATTTACACCGCTTATCGGGTCAACTCAACTTGTCATATCCTTCGGAAGGGTTATCAGTTGGATATCTTTCTGATTACTCGTTCCGATGTAGATCACACATTGAGGTTATCTAAACCCAGAACACACGCACTTGAGACTTTTCGCGCACTGTAGTCCTTGTTGATTGGGTAGAGCAGAAACTTTCGTATTCGTGACCTCATTAGTCGAACACTAAACTGACCTGTGTAAACTCTTTCAAACGGTGAATTCGGCATACAAAGTCAGTAAGTTTACCCCTACTTCATTCATCAACGCTAAATACACAGAATGAACAATATTAGATAGCTCATCAAATGATAAGGCACCTTTGTTATCTATCAGAACACCCGCCGATATATCATTCCAAGTACTTCGGTTTTGGTCGCAAGTAACTCAAGGTAGCAGTCAGTTTCATGACTATTCGGCCTATCAGTTGCATAACACCTGTTGGCAAACGGAGGATCAATACTGAGGTTAGGTGCAGAGTTTTAGGTAACCGCGGTCGGCCACGGAGGCAAGTGGTCGATCTCCTTAGATCACGCTGGTTCGGGCATGTGTTACGCACGTCACCAAATACGTTGCAACGGCAAATTATGTTCACCGAGGGAGATAATGGATGGAATAAAGGTCAAGGGTGATTAAGCTAAGACCTGACACGAGGGTCTGAAAACCCTAACAAGGAAACTCGGTCATAAAAACGGTGTTGGGCTCTCTGGATAGGGACCTCGGGATCGTTTTATTCAATAGTTAGAAATACTAAGTGATATGGCCGAGTACTGTAAACAGTGAGGTTCCTGCGTATTCTCAATTTCTTTGCAACCTTGGCCCACTGAACTTCTCTGTTTTTTCTTCGGTTCTACTTTTACTTTTCCTGTCGTTCTTCTACTGCTTCATTCAAATGGGTAACCAAAAAACAACAACCGAAACCGGTGCACGAAAGTGCATGGTTAATAGTTGTACAAACAAAAACTGAAAACCTTGTGGCATGCGACGGGTGGTAATTTACCGCTTGTTCTTCCAAGAACGATACTAATAATAAAAATGCATTTACTCTCTTTATAAATATTCATCGTATGGAGGGAGAATGATGCAATCGATTTTCGGGAAAGAATTCCCTGTTGGAGTACGTGCAGAATTCGAAAAGATGGTCAGTGATTGTGGGATTTGAGCCGCCGAGTCACCGTTATAGTGCCCTCTACCGCATAACCACCTCGTCATAGCACCTACCATTTCAAAATAGTTTCAGTTCAATGGTTGCTTGGGGAAATAAACCGCATGGCTTATTTAGAATTGACAGCCAGGGAATGACTCATCATTGTTAATCACATCTCTTCTCGCATATGCTCGAAGACATCTGGTGCAATGTCAATGACCTCGTATATTACTATCGTTTATTTACACACACACAACCTCTGTTCTGTCTCTTCTTTACGGTCTTACAGAACCTCGCAATGAAATCGGAACTGTCTGATATTCAGAGTGAATTTGAGCAAGACCGTAGCGATTACTTAGACACTATTCGACGTCTACAACGGCAAATGGACCTGTTGCAAGCGATCATCGATCGGATTCAACCATGTATTCGACGAGACAGTAATTATCACAATGTGGATAAAATAAAGAAGTTGGCCAAGTGAGTCTATTCCGAGGATCTTTACCTGGGGACCATTCCTCGTCAAATTGTCTACATATGTCTAAACCGATAAAATGATGAAATAAATCGCATATTGTGCCTACTTGGTAATTACTATCGATCCTTTCATGTATTTTGGGTATGTGCGGTTTAATTTAGTTTTATTTTGATAAGGTAGAAAATGTTATTCCAATCAGAGAGCTCTTTTCATTTAAGTCCCAAAATTCTTTAGTAATAGACAGAAGAAAAACAAAAGTGTGCCCTCTCCCTGTGATTCTCATGACGGAAATAATTTGGTCCTATGCAACGGGTACAATGTTTCTGTTCGGTGGTGCAAACGAGTATTGATCGCGTTCATTTGCAACAAATGTGTTTTGAATATGTGGGGAATTTGTCATGAACTGAAAAACTAGGAAGCATTGGACAACTATCCTGACCTGGTTGGGTCTCATCAGCAATGTACATCCATCGACCCAACTGCGGTTCACGATCCGTTTGCACAACAAACTTACCATAAAATCAATTCCAAATTCTGCACTACTCTGATGCAAAACGTAGTTTAATCGGCTTGAAACCGCTTTCTTATTCTCACAACAGGTGGCAAACTGCGAGGATCTCCTTTCCCAGTTACCGAAACTGTCAATAAGTTTCTATTTTCGTCATCGGGCAATCAGTGATGAAAATATGCTCTTAGAGTATTTTCATTTGTCACAATCGTACGCAAAATGTACAACAACCAATAGATTCGTCCAATTGTTAGTGCGTGGAAATGAGTAAAAAGAGGTACTCACGTTCCGCATGGAAGATTTCGGGTTCTGTTCTGGAACTGTACGGTGTTGAGCACCCTCAACGAGTTACAACATTCTTTTACACTTCCCGTCTGCTGCTCTCGTTTCATGCGCTACAAACGAGACAACAAGTACACATTGAATCCTTCTTTGGTCAGAACAGTAAATAAAAATGATCACTTTTTATTTGAAGTCTAGTTCCATTGATCGGAGGAACTGTTTTTCAATAATTGACGTATATTTCGGTTCTTGTGTACAGGTGATCACTGTTCCGAGTGACTCACCATATCTGTCTGGTGCAAGTCACGTGACCTCTTTACTTGCGTCCATGGCATACCCAGTATCCAGTACGACTGCTTTTGTTTTTCACTGTTCTTTGACTTCATTAGTTTTTGATATAGAAGAGTTTCCCCGTTCCACACTAAATTCCACACTGAGTTGTTCACCTTGATTTGCACTCCTCAATGAAACATTTTCGCACTCAGTCATCTCCATCAGCATTTTCTTATACCGTGTTCCTCAGTCTCAGTATCACGATACAGTTTTCTAACTGGTCACCTCTGTTGTTTTGAAAATTGATGGGCAGTACTATCTATTCATCTATTCAGTCTAAGGAATGTAGTGATTACGTGTTCTTCTCATGCTATTTGATTTACGCCTCAGATATGACGAGGAACGGAATGAATGGATTCTGCCCCAAATGACAATCGAACGAACTCAATTGCCAGTGGCACCGCTGGACTCTGGTCAAGGACCGCATCGTTTTACCCAAGGTTTAGGCGATCAGAGCGATACCCCCGGAACCGGAGGCCTATCGGCTCGTGCCGGTGCATCGACCTTGCTGAGTCGTGATACAGAAAGGGAGAGTGAGGAAGAGGCAAGATATTATGCCAAATTGGCAAGTCGAACACAATCCCAGCCGAACTATTTTGCGAATCGCCGTGCCAGTCAATTACTAATTGATGCAGGTAATAATACATTTGAGTGGTTTGCTCTGTGTAACTGGTTTGTCTTATCGGTTTATCTGCTCGAAACAGGCTTAGGGTGTAAGTTATTATTTTGGTTTGGTGATAGCGTACCATAGTTAATTTAATGCTTTATCTGTCAGGATTGGTGTAGTGTCTCGCATGGTAACCGAAGCACTGCCTTCTCTGTTCCCCAGTGAGGCAAAAGAAACAACTGGAATACGATTTGATGAAAATATGGCTTGAGGACGGAACTATGCGATTCCAAACCTATCAGGCTCCGCCATGATGTCCACGTAACTTCTAATTGCGTGGTCGTCAAGTATAGTAATATTTGTTTCGAAATATGCTCATTTGTTTTTCAATCACTACATGCTACCGCAAACACTAATTATTATTGCTAAGTTTATTGAACACCATACCAGTAAAACGGAATTTCGGAGAGAGAAATTTATTCTAACAGAAAATCGTTTTGATTACATATTGTATAGATATGTATAATTGAAAATGGAGTTTAAAACGTGAAGAATTTTTGCTGATAATCACCTTTTCTCTGTCTTCACATCCTTAGCTGCTCTCGGAGCCGGATCGCATCGTGGCAGCCTGAACACAAATATTTCCAATTTACACGGATCCTTGTACGGGATTGGAAGTAACGGAGTCGAGTCCAATTCACTGTTCTCACAAGACCCACACGGACTGGGTGCTCTACCCGGTGCCCTAGACGAAATGATGTTTCACACCGGCAGACGGGCTTCCAAATTTGACTCGCGTCTTCGAAACACACAGGGTAGCCCGACCGGACCGAAAAGCTCTCCGTCCTATCGACGACCGAAATGAAGATATACTTGGATGTTCTGGGGGAAAAATCACAAAAAGAACAACTAAAAACCCGTACCGCACATTGAATATCAGAGAAGGAATGAACCACGCGCCAATAGTCTGGATGATTTCATGTTCGTTCATCTGTTGGTCTTCTAATACAGGTGAAAGATTTGCCTTTGTCCACACAGAAGAAACACACGCCGGTACACACACAGTGGGTACCGGGACAAACAGGGAGAGTGAGACTTTGTGTCTGGAATTCGTTCATATATATATATATATATATATATATACAAATATGACTGTGTAATCGTGGTGATTGCCAACGACCAGAGCGCCCAAACAAACTTTCGTACTATTCGATTCGATTGAATTAAAAACAAAGAAAACTAATAAACACTTTCAAAAAATACCATAATCTTTATGATCCTTTGACACACTTTACTATCGATTGTCTTATTTCACTTATCGTCAATCACTTGACATTCAGTGCACGATAGAGAGACCGCAGGCTATTTTAGATAATGGCATAAAACCTGCAAAAGAGAGACTTTCAGAATTCAATTTTTCCTATAGAGTTTACTGCATGAGTTGCCAAGGGGCAACAATAGCTGTGTTGAGGCAACAGTGTCCGAGGACAATCAATCTCCGGGCCACAAGCTAATTCAATTGTCCGTTGAGAACGTCGTGGTGTCAGCAAATCTCACCTCTAACCAACTAAAGTCAACATCAATAATCCATGTTTAAACAGAAGGCATTCGGCTGGGGTTAAGGGATAGTGGATGAAAACTGTCAGGTGATTACAGGAAAGTGACTTTGTATCACTGAATCATCCTTAGTGAATTCTTACATTAAATAACTTGTCTCCATGCTGGAGAAAAGCACCCAAAACTAAGGTAAGTAATTTTCTCCTCAGTTTTACTCAGTCAGTGATAAGATGTACTGTCCGTAGTAGGGTTACTAACAGCTGATTCAATCGGTCGGCCAATAGTGTGTATCGATTCGCTTTCCCGTCCCATGGACGTTACCCGTGAGGTTCTACAAGGATCTGTGCTTGGCCCGCGACTTTTCCTAACATTCATAAACGACCTACCGAAGGCGCTGGGGCCAAAATCATTACTTTTTGCAGATGACGCCAAAATTTGGAATACAATAACGCAACCAGCGGGCTCACTGGCACTCCAGAAAACGTTGAAAGCAGCTCATCTGTGGTCCGTTATGAACGACACTGAATTCAATGTGCCAAAGTGCAAGGTTTTATCTCTACGACACAGGGGGCAATTTTCGTATTTCCTCGGAAATGAACAACTGCCACACGCCGCAAGTGGAGGGACCTGAGCATCATCATTCAAGAAAACTTAAGCTGCTCACTCAACTGCACCAAGGTGCCCAACGCAGCTGTAAAGAACGTCGGTTTGCTTAAGCGGGTCTTTGGCCGGTTTCAGTCAGCGCTTTTCCCCCGCCTACTATCAGCATACATTCGTCCAATCACAGAGTATGCTATCCAGGCATGGAATTCATGGCTACAACGTGATTGAAAAATGCTGGAGCGTCCACAAAGGATGGCAACTATAATGGTCAGGGGTTTGAATCGGTGTTCATACGCAGAGAGATTGAAGTCACTGGGGTTATATTCCAATCACTACCGGCGCATCAGAGGAGACATGATTATGGTATACCAAATAATGCAAAACCCAAGCCATCCGTCTCACCCGCTTTTGAAGTTATCACCCAACGTTCATCTTAGAGGACATCCATTCAAACTAGTGGTCTCAAAATACCGCTTGGAATATCGGTGTCAGAGTGTGTTCCATCCGGAACTCTCTCTCTCTACACCGTACACACACCCATGACCTCCAAACCCTCCCCCATCCTACATCCGCCCCCTTAACCCATCCCTTTCTCTGGATCTTCCGACGATCGTGCAAACACTAGTGCCTCAGATTGAAACTCTGCCGCTTCTCCCTCATGTCCTACCTCGACTACCGTCC